ACCATCACTGGACTCTCACTGGAACATTACCAAACCATCACTGGACTGTCACCGGACCTGTAAGGACTTCTTAGTTCAACAGCGAAAGCCGAATTGAAGGACTGGACTTTGAAGTACCTGATCTGGTTCCTCTCCTTCTCCATCTCCACGCTCTCGGCCTCCAGGAACTGGTTTCGCTACAAAGACGAGAACACGCCCTTTAGACAATTACACGCTCACCCACCTGTCATGGTGGCGGGTGATGAGCCTCACCTTCTGACAGGTGTCCAGCTGTTTGGTCAGTTCTTCTACAAAGTCTTTCTTGTTGGGGGCTCCCAGTGTGGAGGACCTCAGGCTGTAGTGGACCGGCGCCACCTGCTGGCAGAACATCAACACGTCACACGGAGCTGGTGTGACGACACGCATGTAGCGCTTCATCAACTTACAGGGTTGGCGACCTCGGTCCTCCTCCTCATCAGAGTGTCGTAGGCGGAGAATCGAGGACGGGGGGCGGTGAGGGAGGAGGGGGGAACCGGACTGACGCTGCGGCCATTGAAGCTGTACAGGTTCAGGTCTGAGGTGGCCGGAGAGAGTCCGCCCTGGACCTGAAGACACCGGGGGAGGAGTTCAAATACTCAAGCAGAACACTAGCTAAAAGCTAGCACAACTCTGGCTAAACGTTGAAAATTATTGGCTTAAAATAGCAAAAGGCTAGCTAGAAGCTAAAGATAGCAAATGGCTAGCAAAGAGGAAATAAAAGCTAGCTAAAAGTAGCATAAAGCTATAACCTGAACCTTTATAACCTGAACCTTTATAACCTGAACCTTTATAACCTGAACCTTTATAACCTGAACCTTTATAACCTGAACCTTTATAACCTGAACCTTTATAACCTGAACCTCTCACTCTCTGCTCTTTGAATTGAGGAAGCTCCTCGGATGATGAGGAGCGAAACGTCTTCTGTTACAAATAAAGTCCAGTTGTTTTTGTATTGAACGTTTCTTGAATTCATTGTGTCCTGGATGACTGAGAATCTTCACCAGCGTAGCATAAAGCTAGTTAAAATAAACAATCCTAGCTAAATGCTAAAACAGATAGCTGGACGCGAAGAACTGGAAAACTAGCTAAAAACTAAAAGTAGCAAAACTATAGGGAAAAGTAAAAACAGCAAACTGTTAGCTAAAAGTAGGAAATGTTTCCTAAAAACTGCCAAATGAAAGCTTGAAGCTAAAAACTTAAGTAGCAAAAGGCTAGCTAGAAGCTAAAAAAATAAAAAGCCCCAAAAATTGTGCCTGATTTCAAAGAGAACAAAGTTCCTCAAATACTGAAGATCTCGAAGTATTTCTACGTGAACCGTTTGTAAATTTAAATTGTTTGAAAAATATGAGACTTACAAAAACAAAGTCACAACAGCTACGTGTTTAATTAGCTGAAGGTTTCTGTGTATGAAAGGCTAAAGCAGAACAAAATATGCTGTTTAAAGAACTATCTACAACAGGTAAGATACTGACTGTTCACAACGTTTCAACAGAATCCCACTTTAAAATATCTGGACTGTCCCTTTAAGTGTTCTGAGGTACAGACCTTAAACTCGGACATTCGGTTCGATGGATTATATTCCATGGACGTGGTCGAGATGTACGGACTGTTGAAGACCCGGGGGGGGCTGTCCACGAGGCCCGCCTGTAAACAAACAAACAAACAAACAAACAGTTCATGACAGAACAGAAAGAAATGAAAGAAAAAAGCTACAAATCTTTTGGTAAATTGAATAAAATTGAAAATGTTAAAACAGTCAAAGTTTTATGAAATCAAAAATTCTGATGTTTATTTTTAAAAGCTGTAAAATGTTTATTTTTGGTTCTAAAGTGTAAATAAATAAATAAACAGGATGATTTCCTGCTGAAGGAGGCGACGTCAGATCAAACCGAGTCAGTTTTTATTGACGATGTTTGAGTTAAAAGTTTGACGAGTTATTTTGGATTAAAGGTGAAAGAACCGGATGAACTGGTTTCCTGCAGCTGGACAGATGAACTGGTTTCCTGCAG